CTTTGGATAAGCAGACCATAAGGGAATTACTTAATATCGGGTTGTCTGCTACGTTAGCCATGAACGACCTGATAAGTAAATTTCTTCTATCAGACATACCGGTGAATATTGAACTCTCTAAACTATTTGATAATCCTAGCTGCACTAATTATATAAATGTGACAAATTTAAGAAAATTTATGATGAAAGGGTCTAGTGATAGTAAGAAGCCTTCAAAGTGAGTGCTAGGCACAATAGCCAGACATAACATTCCGGAATTCGTAAATTCTGGCCAGGCAAAGAATTGCTAGATTCTGTGACAACCCAAAACAGTGCTCTCAGTGTCTGATGTTTGGGCATGGAATGAAAACATGCAAAGGCTAAGTCAGATGCAGCAGGTGTAGTCATAATCATAAAAAAAAGAGGAAGGCCCGCTTACCAAGTGTGGCTTATGCAGTAATTCTCATGAAGCTACCTCAAAGGATTGTCCTAAATACAAACAAGGAAATAAATCTCTTAAATACAGTTCGGACTGTCATGTGCCTATAACAGAAGCCAAGAGATCGTTGCAAACAACGCTCAGTCACCATGTACAACAGCAACAATGGAAGAAATCTTGAAGTGGTAATAACAATAACGTCTGCTCTCCAGGCAACATCTGAAGCCGCATTCAGCAAGCAGAAAGTTGTGAAAGAATATTGTAAGGGAGAGCCCAAAAATATAAGGATATGTTTACAAAAAATTCAGGAAAAGTTTGATAAAAAGCCGAAATGAGTTACCGGATTGTGTCAAAGACAAGCATATTGGAAAATGAGTCTTTGAAATAGATAAAGATGACAACTACAGAATTAGAGCCTATGATAAGTAAGGAAAAGAAACCTTATTCTAAAGAGGAATCCGCAGTACCAGAGGCATGCATTCAAAGTAAGCATGACTGGATAAAACTGAAAACGTAAAGGCTAATTATTTCCTCTGCAGATTTAATTTTCTCAACTACCTCGATGGGACCCATTATTTGCTCTTGGAATTCAAGAAGCATTTCAAATAAGAGAAATTTTACTGCACAAAAGAAATAATTTTATTCTGACATTTTAGTAAAATTTAATTTGACATTTTTTCTAAAACGATGATTTTCGTTCACCAGATAAGACGGTTTTCTGCAAAGACAGATTAGTTCTTACCAAAGTGCTGGCCTAATTATCTCCATTAAGAAGGAATTGGCGGGTTTGACGGTGCAAAGTAGTAACTATGATATATCAAAAGAAGTTGAAGAAAAGAAGTATGGGAATTGACCTCCGTGCACGATTATGGTTAATGTCTATCTTCCAAATGTCCATTTGAAGGCGCAAGATTAGAATGGAGTCTTGGATACACTGCCCGAGAAATTTATAGGTGGCTTCAACTTCCATAACCTGGTTTAAGGGTCGAACGGGCTTTCTACAGGGGTAAAGAACTGCTGTAGTTGTTCAATAACAATAATTTATGCATGCTCAATAATGGTAGCCCACTCATTATAAGTTCGGATGATACGGTGTTCAGCATTGATCTCGCTTTACGTCCATCTGAACTATTATGATACAGTAAACTAGAATGTTACCGCAGAGTTGTTGAATAGACCCAGAAAATGGTCAGCGTGTAGTGGAAAAGGGTGTTTTCGAATAATTATTAATTAACTTGTGAGGTCTCGCAGGATTCTATCTTGTCCCAGTCACTTTCTACCATTTGTATACATGCCATTTATGAATTCATGCCGGCCGATGTTAAATGTTTAAATGTTTTGTGTAGGAAAATAATATTTTTTTATTATATATTATTATACTATTGTATTGTATCTCTATTGTATAATATTTCAACTTGCACTCCAAGGTGCTTAGGAAATTGCAACGCGCCTTAATCAAGGCACAAATCTGGGCCAGTGAAATGGAATTTATGCACATCCCGGGAAGAAAAGCAAATTAATTATTTTCAGAGAGAGGAAAAGCAAAGACGTTATATTGGTTGAACTTTATTGGTGTTTTTTAAGTTACACACGCAAAGAGATCAGATCACTCGCACAACAAACTAAGCTTAATTTGTATAATTCAGTATCTGTATGTAATTCAGTAATTGTGTAATTCAGTAAATGTACTTATGCCACGGAACAATTCAGTAGTATGATTATGTATCATGTATGTAATTCTACTAGGAATCAGTATCAGTAATTGTATGTACATGGAGCAATCTAATTGGACGATTACGTATTATGTATGTTTATCTATTATGAATCAGTATGTTTATCTGTCATGTTTATCAATTATCATAGGTATCATGTATGTAAGTAAAGTATGACCTGTCCAGTGTGAACTAACACACGCCATGTCCAAATTATACGCAAAGAAATCAGATTACACGCACAACACACTAAGCCTGATTTGTATAATTCAGTATTTGTAGGTAATTTAGTAATTGTGTTAGACAGTAACTGTATGTATGGCACAAAACAATTCAGGAAAATGATTATGTATCATGTATGTTTTTCTTTTATGAATCAGTATCAGTAATAGTATGTATGGCACGGAGCAATTCGGTGGTACGATTATGTATCATGTATGTTTATCTATTATGAATCAGTATATTTATCTAGTATGTTTATCAATTATCCTTTTTCTCATGTATGTAAGCAAGTACCAATAAAAGATTTTATGTGCGATGCAAACAACTCTTGTATGGCAATGTTCAGCCTTTCTGTCTTGAGATAAACTCCTGTCCTCATGGAATGCTGAAAGGATGTTGTTCTGGACAGTTGCGGGATTCGGATAATAACCGAATAGTGTGTGTAAGCTGGATCACTTGTCATCTATTTCTAAGAACATCAAAATCCCGTTAGAAGAACAAGTTAAAGTTTTAGGAACGTAGCAATACGTAGAGCGTGAATACTCATGTAAACGAAGTTATCTCCAAGCTGGAAAGAATGTTAAATGCGTTTCAGTTTATTGCAAGCCCAAAGTGGTGCGCAAGACGTATCGACCTTTTCTAAATTGATAATGCTATCGTAAGAGGGAAGATGGAACATAGCTTTTAAGTCCTTTTGTCCACTTCATAAAAGTATAATAAAGAATCTGAAACAGTCTACCATGCATGCTTTAAGATTAGCTAACGGGGCTCCGATTAGCACTTCCCTCTTATTGGTAGATAGAGAAGTTTTCACGCTATAAAAAAACAAGGATGCGCGCATCAGCGATATAATTCTTGATTAAGAATATTGCTTTCTCAGACAAGTCTTCCACAGCAGCCAGTTTGAAGAGTTGTCTACAGAATTGAAGATACAAGTGGGGCACGCAAGCCCATTAACTAGTGTGTCAAGAATGAGCTCGTAAAACTCTTTTGACTCTAACAAGATAACTCTAATATTTCTCTAACTCTAGCTAGCTGTAACTAAGTAGTGACTCTAATAAGCTCATTAGCGAGTGTGTCAAGTACAAGCTCATGAAACTTAATATTAACTCTTATAATATTGTCACTTCCACCAATGAGCAGGATTTCTCAGAAGATGGGAGCTTCAGCATAAAAATAAGTGAATTCCAGAGAAAAAAAAAAAAAAAATTGGGGATGAGCAGATGCAGCAAATAACACTGACAATAGGAATTCTATTTTCTTTGTCGAGGCTTGCGCTGTCAACAAGGTTCTGGACGATCTGAACGAAAAGTCATTATTCTCAAGGACAGTATGTCAGTGGTGAATGTCATATAAGATGTATTCATAGAAGTTCCAGTTCTTTTATCCGAAAGTACTATGAGCAGATGAAAGCTTTACGCCATCTATCTTCTGCGTTTCCGGCCAAAAATGCCACAAAGGCATAGGGCTAAATGAAATAGGAGAGAATACAGCGAGGCTGCAATTGCTGGATACAAATTAGCTGCGGTACACATATCGGAGGGTGGATTCAAAATACCGTAATAAGTGCTTGTGATTGATAGCACCAAGTATGCAATTATTCATTTCACGTATTATGCTGGAGAAGAGGAGATAGGGAAACACTGATCCTTTGCCTGATTTCCTGATTCACTGCAGTGAGAATCCTTGGAGGCATCGTATCCGGGGGTAACGTTATCACCAAATGCATTCAGAAGTAACCTTGTACGGACTTAATTATGGAAAAGCGGTTGCTACCCGAACTGATGTTTCCTCTCGAGTAGAGGGAACGTGTCCTCGCATTTAAATTATGTAAGTAGCATTGCGCACGCGTTGCAGCGGAAGCCACCGAAAGAAAGCCAAGCTTCATAAAAGAGTTGAAGAGATATTTTGGCGATATATATTCGATTCCGAATATATATTCGATTCCGCTGCCCTGCCTATCGAATAAAGACGGTTGGCTACGCTAATGTTGTTCTTGCTGGTAATACTTTAGACTGAGGTTTAACTAGATCCTGCTTGATAAGAATATGTTCGAAATACTGTCATGGTTTAGGTGATCTTGTAGTTTCTACATAAGTTAGATTTGAATTGTATAACTATTATCCTTTGTGAAAGGAAGTGATGTGTTGAAACCAGGTCTAGGTTAGCTGATAAATGTATGTGTTAATTTAAGCACTTACAAGTGGTGAAGTAGCGTAAACTTAAAGTGTTTGAATTCTCTTGTCTGTTTATTTGACGGTTAGTTATTCTGGTAATAATAATTCATTGCTCAAAACAAACGCAACAATTGGTTTTATGGTAAAAGGTATCACTTAGCTAGTTAGAATCTACTCCTAGCGTTACAGCGTTTATATTTATTTAGAATTACTCGACATAAGAATCTTATGTTCCTATCGGCTTCCTTTTTTAGATTATTATCAAAGGAAAGACTGCGGAAAGGTTTTAGAATTCGAATGAAACACATAATATAGAAATTAAGTATTTTAATGCTTTCTATCTTAATATTTAATAATTAACTCTTGATGTCATTATGTGAGTAACTGTACATAAATATGAATAATGTAGTAGTAATTACAACTGAATATAAGTATTACGCATGAAGACTAAGCCAATGATAGAACAAAATATGATTATAACAAAAATTTATAACCTAAAGTTTACTAATTTACATATTTCTACAAAGTGATGATATGCAATAAATACAAAATATAAAAATTAGGAAGAAATAAAAAACGTATATTACATGCGTCGATTTTCTCTCAACAATTTGTTGGCACAGCAGATTTCTAATAAAAACACTACTTGAACAATAACAGTACATGCTAATCATAAAATTAATAATTTGATTGTTTGATAATGAATAATGATTTTGAAACATGTGTAATGCACAATTTAACATCCTACTAAGTTTATTATTTTAAGAGAAACCTCACCAATAGATATATGTTCTTATATATACAATCTTTACAGTCAGCTAGCACCAAAGTGTTACAGATAATAACTTTCATTTTTTTCATTCTTGTACCATGAATGACACATATAAAAATTATTACATCACATAAAAATTTAAATAATTCATGGATTCCATAAATACTAGTCAGGCTTGATATAATACATTTCGAAGTACAGTTTCTGAAATAACCAAAGTGTATTATAAAAATTGCAAAGTTTTGTATTCAATAAATAAAAAAAATGAATTTAGTAAAAACAGTATTTTTCTCTTAATATAAACAGGGCAGTAGTTTTATTGCCTGAAAAAAGAATTCACGGAATATTTGCGATTTTCGATGATAAATGTGTGAAAAATTCGCTGCTTTAAATTTATACTAACAATTATCTGAAACTTTTTGTAGTCGAAGATTTACATTAGCATCTAAGTCGAGATGATATATCAGAAACGTAGAAATAGCACAATTAGCAAGTATGCACTATCTAAATAAAAATTATATGATAAGTTTATAATTTCGATTGAAAATGTAAGTTAAAATTTAAATTTAAATCTTACGTTTGAAGTTCTCGATTGGAAAGATTACTGTGAAAGTACAATTTTGCAGAAGTTCGAATTAAACATAACACAAAATTATGTAAAGGAGAAAATCTCCTAATGCTGAAATAATCTAACACAGAAATAATAACAAAAATGTTTGAAATAACGAGGGACAAATTCAAAAATTCACGAATTTATTCGACATTCTAAAACGCGAAATCTTAGAAAAATATAGTAAAATTCGTACCTGAATAAAAGTACTGTCCTAGTTATAATATGCATTACTTATATTGTAAATATTGTACTTCAAAAGAATTTATTTCATTCACGTTTTGAATATGCATATTACAACAAATGTATGATAAAAACCGAAATATCTGCACTGTACAGCATCACAGGTAATTCAGCAAATCGGCTGCTGTTTTTCCTGTAGGTCAAATATGTATTTAATGCAAGAGAAGGGTTTATATTTCATATTTTACTTATATTTTACTTCAATAAGGAATACAGAGATTTAAAAAAGATAGGACTTTGTTTCCGTAAAGTGATACGGAAAACACTCACTTTTTCCATAACAAAGCAATAAAAGTATTTTTAATTTTTCTGAATCTTTAACCATTCTTGTTTCAACAAAAATGAAGTAGGAAAATTGTTTTTATTTGTGTAAAGCTACGGAATTAAGCATGGAACATTTTTAGCCTTAAACTACGATGAAATTTCTGTTGAAATAAAATAAATCATGTCTCTCTTTCATCATGACTAAGAATGATAATCTTTTTCATCAAATCATGACTAAGATGATGAACTAAATAGTGTAACAAGTATCAATGAACGTTTACTTAATTAAAAAATAGAAAATAAAAACTATTAAATAACTTAAAATAAATTCACTTAATTAGTAAATAATGAAATAAATAGTGTAATACACATCAAAGATCGTTTATTTAATTATAAAATAAAAATTAAAACTATTAAATAAATTAAAAACGAGGTTATTTTACCTGAACTGGAAACACGTGCAATTCAGATAATCGGAGTTCCGAATATCTGGATTCCAGTAATTGGAATTATGTTATAGCAAATTTAAAATTTATTTCCGATTTAGAATCTGTTTTTGTGTCTTTAAATATGGTATTTTTTTCCAATGCGATGAATTTCAAAAGGAAATGCAGGATCTTTTGTAACTTATTTGTTGCTTAGTAAACCTCCATTTCAATGGAGCTTCGCCTAAAGGAATGTGAAGAGAAGTAGCATTTACAATTGTGCAATATTAAGAAAATGTAGCATTAATTATTCGACCTCAAGAGACGCGACTATGAGCAAGAAGACGCATGCGCCATTCGAACTATTTTATTTACGAAGTAAACGTGTTGCGATTTACGCGGGACAGGCAAGATCATCCTTACCAACGCCGGTTTCTGGCTAATACTCCTATTGGACGAATCGAAGTTTTTTGGCTGAGACAGATAGCTCTCACATGCCTTGCCATAGTCAAAACAACCCAATCTAGACTTTAAATTAGATTCTTTTCATATCTAAAAGCAGTTATATATATCAGTTTTAGATCCATCTCATCAACGACACAATTTATATTTCTGGAGCATCAGAAGCCATATCAAAATTTGCATTTTTAGAAAATGACTTTTGCATAGATTTAGATATTTATTTTTTTAGACCTTCCTTGGGTAGTATAAGTGTTTGGTATCAAAACTTAGTAATTATCTAACAGAACATCATATATGCTCGCTATTTTAGGTCATACAAATTTGCAACTTCAAAAAGTTCAGAATTTCGTATATTCATAAGACTTCAAGTTGCTAACGTGTAAACGATGTATTCTTTAATTTTTAATTTAAAGCTGGCATCTGAAATTTATTCGCAATACAATCTACAATATGTTATCAAACCTATTTTTGGACTTGCAGTTTATAAATTACATTAAAAAATTAACGAATGCTCGACAGGATTCCAAATTCTATAAATCTAAAATTTCATAGTGGAATAATTAGGAAAAAGTAATGGAAATAAAATAAATGTACATTTATATTGAATGAAGTGAGAGCGCTTTACGTAAAATAATTCGAAAATTCGGATAACTGGGTTGCTTATTTATTATCCGAATTATTATTTATTATATTAGCCATACACACACAAAGCAATTCCGCAATTTTCTAATGAAAATGTTAAAACAAATTAGCTAAGTATTATTAAACCAGAAGAAATCCTGAAAACATAAATATATAAAAATATAAATAATAGGAAGAGGGATACAATTAAATACTAATTCAAAGATATCAAGAGGAGGTAGATCAGATTCAATTGAATCCTTCTTCGCAGGAAAACCACTGCGTTTCTATTCATTCAAAATTAGCTGATGAACTATCTTAAATTATTTAATTCTAATAGTTCATCCGAAATTTCTGAACGACTCCTCGACGCAGCAGCTCTTCTTTCATGAGACAACAAAATGTACAAAATAAGTTTAAAATGAAATAAATTTTAAAAAATACTAGCAAGTAGTGCGTGTTTTACTTTTGCTTTACTAAGCATTGAATTCATTTCATTTAAGCTTGTTTTTATATATTTTTATTTCATATGAAATAAAGGCCTACTGCGTCGAGGAGGAGTTCGGAATTTTCGGATGAACTATTAAAAAAAGGCTGATGAAAGGATGAACTATTAAAATTGAATTAAATAATTTAAGATGGTTCGTCAACTAATCCTGGATGAACAGAAACGCAGTGGTTTCCCGAGAAGAGGGATTCAATTGAATCTGATCTACCTGTTCGTGGTAACGTTAAATCAAATTTTAGTGTATTCCACCTCCTATTTCATGTATTTTTATACTTTTCTGTTGTTTTCGGGAGTTCTGGTTTATAAACATTTAGCTGATAGGCTCTTTTACGTTTTTGTTTGAAAATTTTGGAATTTTACTGCTTTTAAACTTCTTTCATGTCTTTGCGATGTCTTTCATGGCTTTGTGAATTTGCTTCAAAATTTCTTACTATTTTGTCTGCAATGGATTAACATATATATTATAATGCAACTGATGAAGATTTATATTTTCATGCGTGGTATTTTATTTTAAGATTTCAAAAAAGCTGATAGAGTTAAAAATTATGTAAATTACACAAAACTGTAAGAATAAGAAAGTACAATATTTTCCAACAACACAAGCAATGAAATTATTAATTACCTAAATAAAAAAAAAATATATGTTTCAAATAACGTAAACAATGAAGTTAACTGTATATTTACATAAAATTGTAAAATTAAATAACATATCATTTTTGTTTATTTTTCCAATACTAAAATAAAAGAACAAAAATAAAACACACTTTTTTTTTCTGTACAACTAAATTCAAGCCAATGAATTATTTCTCAGTTGACACAAAACAAATTATCTCTAAAAAATTGCTTAATGTAAAATAATAACAAATTGTTCTTTTTTATTGTATTCAGATTTATGAAAAACTCCAAAATTAAATAAATGAACAATATGCTCAATTTATTCAGAAAATAACTAGAAAGAACAACAAATAATCCTTATAAATGAAGTTCCGCAGAGCTTGAATTAGCATTTTGTAAATATTCTTAACTTTTTAAATAAATTAATAAACTTGAACCTACATTCGACAACAGTTTATAGCATTTAGTTAGACCCATAGTACAAGGATAATGTTTTTAACAATTCACTTCAATAATCACAAAACAAAATACCTCTGGCATTGAGCCATATTATCACTAAAAACAAATTCCCATTTTATTGTTAATGCGTTCCAGTCGTTCTTTAAAAACTGCTTTGGCACCTTCATTTTTTAACGCACTGTAAAAATGTCTGGCCGACATTTAGGAAGCAAGATTTGCATCTTGACTATTCCTGTAGAGTCTACCGCGCTAGACGAGCTGGATTAAATTCGTCCGTGAACTCACATTAAAGGTTTATACACAGGTGAAGTAACAGAAGATTTATGACTAGGAATTGACCTTGGCATTCAGGATTACGTCCCTTTCTTTCCGAATAAACCGTTTCTGGAGAGGCGTTATGAGGAGATGTAAAGGATGAACGAAACATAACATCAAAGTCACACAGTTAAACACATTGACCTGAAAATAAAAATTGTAGGCATGTAATTAATATACACCATAATTGGTTACAAAAAATTTCTCTTAATTTTAAAAGAAAATCCGGCTAATAAATTGAAATATATTAGAAATAAAGTTTAGAAATTCATGTTTTTTCATAATTATATTTTTACTTTCTAAATATCGCAATTTTGATGTTTGCATATTTTTCTTCTTTATTCCTTTCTATCACGCATTTCTTTGTAGAAATGAATATAGGATTATCTGCCATTCGGAGAAATGTAAGGTTACATTCAATATTGATATTAACTTCCAGAATATGCTTTGACAATTTTTCAATCATTCCAATATTGTTTTTATATATGATGCACTCACAATTGGGGTTCGATTTGATGCACTCGTGATTAGGGTTCGATTTGATGCGCTCAAGATTAGAGTTCGATTTAATACACTCACGATGAGTACTCGTGATTAGAGCTCGATTCGATGCATTACGTTGATAGAATCTAACCCCTGAAACCGAGTTCCTGCTCGATTTCTACCAAGTTATCCGAGACTGTGTGAAATTTAAATGCATTATTATCCACTAGGAAATTTTGATTGTTAATAAATTAAACCGAATTATGAATTCATCGAGCTTAAATTTTATTCTGCATTGAATATCAAGCTAAACAGACTGTAACTTTGTAATATTTTTTAAGTTCAGACCTCAAGTAGAGGCCTCCTCGCTCATTACTTAAACTCATTTAGTTTGAACTTTGGTGGAGTTGGCTGAAATAGTAGAAACGCAGGAAAGATTCAACATAAAAAAGTACCGTGTTAATTAAAATAAGCTTTATAAACGTAGGATTTTTGATGGAGATACTCGGCCATAACAGTTAATGTCTAACCATTAAATAGCGTAGTTGAGTAGGACAGAATAAAAGGGTATAAAATTATTACATTTTCTAGTTAAAGCACAAGTCTCTTCCCCTAATCCACAGACGTTGTAAGGTCTTTTTCTATACAGCTTTGTTTACAAAATACAAGTTTAATTATGTATGGATGTGAGTATTTCGTGTTCTGTTCTTCAACAATCATCTATTTATTTTATCATTTTTTACTCGCTAGATAAATATTTTATTAAAAATGATAAATAATTTTAAAATTCTTTAGTTTATAGCACTTTTGCAACAAGAAAATGTGCAGCAATATTTTGTTGCCGGACAATCTTTGAATCTGGAACTTACCTGGAAGACGTCCTCCTGGGACTTCGACTCCCAGACATAAAGTGGAAACTGTAATAATGAGCCAATTGCTGCCGTAGTACTCATTATACCGAGAAGACGGTTGAAATGGCCAGCCGGGAACCTATTATAGAAATCCATTTTTAATGAAAGTTGACTAGTTATAATTATAGAATGTATACAGTCTTCGAGAATTAATGGTAAGATTTTATGAGCTTTCTGTGAAGTACATACACTTACGGTAAGATTTCCAATACAAGGCCATATAATTACGGAGATTTCGTGAGGTTTCTAGGCGATATACTTGTGGTAAAATTCCATAAGATGTCTATGAAGGCCTTGCACTTATGGGAATATTTCATGATATTTCTATGAAGACCATACATTTCTGTGAAGGCTATTTCAGTTCAGTTCTCATAATATAACATAATATGATTTAACTCACTCACTCAAAATGTGCAAATTAAACCATATTCTATGTAAGAAGTTGTCTAAATCCTTGTAACTGCCGAATTTGGAGCTTTGCTATGTAGCGACCTAAACAGCAACAAGATTTTTACCATTTTACTTTTTTCAAACTAATACGAATTTATATACGTATGCAATGCAGCGGAAGGGGCTGAATTGAAGATCTTCATTCACTAAGATGGCGCACCGCCCTCACTTTGCTAACCATATACGAGACAAGTTGAATCCTCAGTCTTCAGGATGATAAATTAGCAAAAACGAGTTTAGGGGTTCTGTTAGAAACGACAGGTTCAACAAAAATATCGAAAACCTTCCACCCACCTCAAGGACTGACGCAGCATTTCCTTGCCAGAGTATGGACTGAAACTGAGTGCAATTACAACTGTCGTGCTGCTAGATATTTTTATGGAATTTAATTTAGTTAATAACAGGAAGTGATTGAATGAGCGTAACTTTTGCAGGAAAAAAAAAAAAAAAAAAAGTACTTCCGATCCGCTTCACTTAACATATACCTCATATAGACCTCATAAAATCTAACATTCCCTCCCGAAGAATAATACAGAAATCCTTCACAGACAGCGAATTCATTCTGAATCATTGTGCAGCTTAATTCTAATTAGATATTTTAAACTAATTCTTCTACTGTAATCATGTAAGAGATATTAAAAAATATTTTATGGTGACGTAAAAATATATATGAAAACATTTTGAGCTCGTAAAGCTAATATTCTGCTGAAGAAGATTTAAATTTTCCTTTGTCTTTCTTGTGTTAAAAATACTATATAAAGACGCTTAATGTGTAAAACCAAAAAAACTTTTTTTTTTTTTAAATCAAGATATTTTTTAAACGAGTTAGAAACATTTCCACAATGCAATTACTTCTCAGTTTTTAAAACAGAAACTAAAAATCAGTTTATTAACATTTTTACAATTATTTTATATTTAATTTATTTTACCAGCTATGTATAAAAAAGTTCAAAAAATGATAGCTTGTCTATGAAATTGCTGCTGATGGTAGAAAACTAACTTCAAATAACTTCAAACTTAAATTCCAAAATTACAGAAATTAATCAATGCAAGCTTTAATTATCATACTGAAACCTATGTAAAAGTTTTAATATGTTGCCATTTATGAAAAACAGTAGATTTTTATAAATCATATTTTCATAATGATGTCTTCATAATTTTAAATTTGGATAGTAATAAACATTTTTGGCTACTTGTCTCATTATCAGCAAAGCTATAGTCAATTTGTGAGACAGCTATAATACGATCTTTAATTTGTAGAGTAATTAGGTTCTATGGATGCTGGAACGTCAAAAACGTGCCTTCACTGGGACTCGAAGTCCGGACCTTCCCCATATATGTCGAGCGGGCGCCTAGTTACCCCACGATGGCATACGGAAAGAAAGGAGAAAATAATTTCATATACTCCCCTATTTAAATGACGACTGGGGAGCAGGGGACCCAACCGCCAAATCCTGGTGTTGATAAATTATCGCCCACCACCTTTTAGTATGGGGGCTACTTGTAAGAGTTTTTAGAATTTTTCGAAGCTTAGAAACTGAAGAAATTCGCAATACCCTTGCCCGGAATTCAAACTCCGGACCTTCCGAACACGCGTCGAGCGTGCTCCCAGTTTCACCACGAAGGCATGTGGAAAGGAGGAGAAAATGCCTTATAAATTTGTTGTACCTTTCCTACATTTCGGAGTATTATGATATATATTAAAATACTGATATTGTTCAGAGATCTTTAGTTGCCATTTTCAGTTATGTATATGTAACTTACCTAATTCTGAGATAGGCCGTTGCTACGGCAACGTGAAAAGATCTGAGTATAGTGGTGAAGACTATGGAGATGTAAACAGCAATGTCGTTTTCGAAGAACTTGCACACTTGCACGATGGCTTGGGCGATGGTAGTGAAAAGCATTGGCCAGAATCCTGAACGAAGCTTGATCAGCTTTCGCTTATCGTAATCTGGTTCTGGAAAAGAAATGACTTCGTGATGAAATTCTATTCACGAATGGATAAAATACACAAAGATATCGATGAGAATCCATGTTAATACAAAAATACAAATAAGAGTTAAGAAAATTAGTTAAAAAAATTTAAAAAGAATCTAAAGAAAAGGAATAGGGAACTAGAGAAAGAAAACTGAGTTTAAGAGTAATAAAAAAATTAAGTCAAATTTAATTTTATAAATGTTACAGAATTTCATAACCTATGGAGATTTATTATTCCAGTTATTCTTAAAATTTAACATAATTACAAATCCTATAAGATAGAATTTTGACATTGAAATTAATAGAGAAATCGATTCATGCATTATAAATAGGACAATAAGTATTAGTAATGAACTGTAGTTTAAAGGACAGGGGGAAATTTTGATGTAGAGATATAAAATATGAGATGTTTTTTACTAAATGCGTCTGTTAGGCAATTAAAAGGAAAAACAGAAAATTGGTCATAAGAGAAAAAAAAACTATCATTCTTTCTTTAAAATAATTTCTCTATGAAAATACAGAGGTAATGAATTTTGAATATGTTTTGAATATCTAAGAGATGTTACCATCTTCTGAATATCTTGAGATATTGCTGGGTCATAGTATTTAAAACAGGAAGCAATTAAAAATTTGACAATTCTATGCAGTTTTTTATAGTTTTCAATAAAATTATTTCTTAATGTGAATAAATATAGCAAACAGAATAAAGGAGATATTGACGATGACAAGAACTTCTAATTATAAGCTCGCAATGAAACAAGAATATTTTTTTAAAAAATCCTGACGTAAAATATTAAAAACCAATATTTTTGGAAAAGACTAAAGCTAAATATAATAAGCTACATATAAAAAGCTAAACTTAATAGACCAAAGCTATTCATAATTTTGTAATAATTAACAAATAAAGTGCTCTGAAATAAAAAACAAAATGAATATTTTTCGATTGATGCAAATGTTCGAGTTAGTTAAATGATAAGAATAATATTGAAAATAAGCTAATATACTGATGAATTATTTTGAAGGTGTGACGTGATTGAAATGTAAGTAAATAATTTTAACTTAATACGCAGTTTGAATCAACGTGATGGATTTTGAATCAAAACGATTCATTTCAGTTAATTACAGGGAGAAAGCATTCGGAGCTCATAATTTGCATAAAAGTTTCCCAAGTTTAAGAAAATTTCGAACATTTTTAATTGATTAAATATGTTTCTCACAAATTACTCTTACATTTCTAGGGGAAAATATTGAAATTTAATGAACGTAGAATTTATTTTATGCAGATTTTATTAATTTTTGAGCAGAGAAATTACAATTAAGTTAAAAAGACAAAACCAGTGGTTCATTAGGGAGAATCATCACGTTACAACTTCGCTTTCTGTCATTAAAAAGAAATTTGCAATAGTATCTTCTTGACTTTCTGTTTTTCGATCAATTTTTCCATAGGAAGTTTGGTTCATTCACACTGTGTAGGCATTTCCCAAACTGTCTTGATCGGGCGTTAACTATCAGCACTAAGAAAGTATGACTAAAATTTTTAAATGTATTCCCTACAGTTTATATTCTTTGTTGCAATAACATATTGCAAAAGTTAGCGCAGCATAAGTAAGGTAATTTGAAGTTCTATTCATATCATTCCTTTAGAACCTATGGATATCCAAATTTCTATGAAGAACAAGCAAAAATATAACTTGTGTTATGTAACACAAGTTTTGGCTCAAAAATTCTGAAGGCCTAGTTCTAGCCATGTTGAGCTTAATTATTATTAGAATTTGGGTATCACCAACATACCACTGCTGGGCTGCTTTCACTAGTTATTGGAACTTGCATATCGCCGATATACCATTAAATAATATTGCACTTTAATGTAATATTTGGATTCTTCGAATCTCTTGAATCTTTCATAAAGGAATAAACAAAAGAAAAAAGAAATCTTTACCTAATATTAAAAGCTTTTAATTTAAATAAATTTAGAAACATGCCATTTAATCAAAACAAATTAAACATTTTTAAATATATCTACATCTATGAAGAAGGTAAAAGATTAAATTAAATAATAGAAAAACACAATTCAAACTATTAAATACTAAGGTTTATTTTCTCAAAGTAATGTGACAAAATATATTTGAATAATAGTTCAGATTTTGTAGTGTTTCTAAAGTCTTTTTTAAAGTAAAGCAGGCGTAGAAGGAGGAAGATTATTTCAAGGGTTATTACAAATAAACTCTAAACAAATAATCTAACATATAAATAAATACTAGAAACACAGATTACACATATAACGCAAAATACTTCTTAAAAAATTAAGGATGGATCGTTACGCGTTAATACACTGGTAATCAGGTAATATTCTTTTTTATCGTGTTCAATATATTATCGCGTTATCAATAATCGCATTCATCTTTAACGAATGTTTATGCTCAATGTAACAATGAAACTGATTATTGCTAAGTTCTGAAATTAAAATTTTTAACAAATTTTTAATCCAAAGGGGCTTTGTGCCTGAAGGACTATTGTTTTTGTTTTGCGATTTTGCGCTGAATCACTCTGAATATCCGTTTTACTTTTCAAACTGTTGCCACAAATACTATCGCCCTGCATTATATTTGAAGAAATTAAATAATGAAGAATCTGCATAAATGTATATATGTTTCTTGCATTGTGATAAAACAACGGTACCTAGAGCCATCAAATTTTGCAAGACATAATCCTACTGCGAATAAGGGCATCTGGAAGACCAAATTTGAAATTTGGAATTTGTTTTATTATCGGTTTCATATTTTGTAAAGCTTTAACGAATTTTTTATTAACAAACTCAACGATTTAAAAGCGAGTAATGGCAACGCTCTACGGAAGGGAAAATGATTTTTTTCCCTCCCGTAGAGTGAAACTGTGTCTGGGAAATTCTAAAGATATGCCCTCTTTGGACGTAATTTAAAATCTGAAACTTTTCAGTTTTTTTTTTTTTGGGGGGGGGGTTCGTTTTAAAAGGTTTGTATCACAGGATAAGAGAAATATCAAAATTAGAGGTTTCGAAGCTTAAAATATTTTAAGACTAGTGGAATTCAAGAATTTAAATAAGTGATCCTTACTAGTTATTGCTTTCAGTAACAGGCATGGATATCTGCGGTTTTCGAAAAATCTTTAATGTGTTATCATAATATAAATTATATTTTTTTCTGCCCTAGCATTAATTGCTTCTTATAGCTTCCAATAAAAAGGAGGAAAAAAAACTGATTTAAAATAAATAATGGAAATAAGCGAAGAAAAAAGAACTGGTTTAAAATAACTAATGGAAAGAATAGAAAAAAGAATTATTTAAAATAGCTAATGAAAAGAAGTGACAGAAAACTTGTTAAAATAACTAATGAAAGGAAGTGAGAAGAAAGAACTGCTTTAACTGCTCATTAATTATTATTAATGAAAGAAAGTGGGAAGAAGAACGGGTATAAATTACTAATAAAAGGAAGCGAAGAAAAAGAGCTGTTTTGAAATCACAAATGAAAGGAAGCGAAAGGAAAAAGAACTGCTTTAAAATAACTAATTAAAAGAAGTGGAGAATAATATACATAATAGTTACATAACGTACCTTGTGATGCAGAGTTCAGTGTTCGATCCATCACGATTCCGGCTATTGGTGCCAGGATAAGAGAAGATACTTGACACAAACCATAAATTTGTGTGTACATGCTCACTAAGGCGAGAAAAATTGGTAAATGCATATATATCATTCTGAAATTTACTCCTCGAAACCATTTTAAGCATCTGAAGCAAACTGGTAAATCATGCTGGCATTCACAGGTTAGCGGAAGCAGAAATTCAAATTAAAAAGACCAATTAAGCAATTATTACTCAAAAGCAAAAAATAAATCTTAAAACCGCTGAATTCCAGAAGTGTAAAAACTAGTGTTAAAAAATAAATATTAATACCTGATCTTCGTCTAATGCTTTCTTGGTTGAAAAATGTAAGCGCAAAATGGGGGCCTGAATTTTATTTAGTTTGCTGATAATAACTGCATTTCTCTGCAGTGTTTGTCGAAATTGAAGTTGCATTATATCAGCAAGTCTTTGATAATAATGAACATCCTTTTGATATTTCATATCATTTTAGCTCCAAAACTGAACTTTTAAATCTTCCGAGGAAGTTTGCTAACATTTAATAACAAAGAATAAGCTTGGAATTTTACATATCATCTTTGTTCCAAAAATAAACTTTGAAGTCTTGCAGGGAAACTTGTGTGCCCTTAATAATAATAATGAACTGATTTTTACTTAATTTCAGTTCTAAAAATAAAGTCTCACATTACTATGACTTTTAAGATATGCAACTGTCATGTAGTTTTTATGCTTAGAACACATTTTATGGTGTAGGCTTACAACTTAGGCATAGCACCAAGAAATGAATAAATTTTTTCCTTGTTCTGTCTTACTGTCGTTGTTAGTTTGAATAACTTTATGCTGAAGAGGAATGGGATGTTCCATTTTAAAATTCAGTTGTCATTCTTTGCGATCATATTCTTATAAGCGTAAACCTTCAAGGCGTCAAAACTTCAGAAATTGTTTTGGTGCTATTAATCAATGACTATGACAATTTGAGCAGATGGATTAAAACCTATAATGCACAAGAGGATTATCGAAAATGACTGAGCAGCTAGGAATGGAAGTTGGTGCATTTTAGGTGGGACCAAGTCTTTAAATTTCATATAACAACTTCATTATTAAATCAGATTTAAGATCTTCGATCGAAGATTTGAAGTGGGTCAAGTAAACTTCGGAAATGAATTGTTTAATTTTCTGCATTAGTTTAATTTATTAGTTTCACATTTCGTATAAGGGAAAAAAAAAACATTTTTTTTTTCTTATTTTAAGCTTATTTTATTTTCGAAATATGCTTGAAGAAAATTTAATGTTGAAACTCTTTTTTTTCTCTGAGTAAGAGTTGCAGCTTCTTGTCATAAAGTACTTTCAGTATTTCCATTAAAATCTTTACTTCTGGAACTTCATTGTGGTTTTTCCATGTATTATCAATGCTTCGAGGATTCTTTTTAAAATAGATTTAGTAGTGATCTAGTGAAGAATAAATATTTCAGATCTACATTCTATTAGCAGATCTATAATTAATATATCTACTTACAGCTGTGTATAAGTTGAACTTGGAAAACGACAGAAAGAATTTTGAGCAATTAGTATTCATTTCATTCTGCATCCCTGAATACTTTAGCAACAGGGTTATTTTTATCACCGTTAAAGTATGCTTAATATAGAAAAGGAAATGTTATGAATTAAAGTTTTTTGCATAAAACCACATTTATATTATACTATTTTAGATAGAAGAGGATTTTTCTCGCACGGAATTCATAAAAGAATACTTTTTTTTTTTTCCTTTCCTTCTTTGTTTCGTTTTGTTTTTGAAACACTTACCGTTTTCAAGATCTTAAATATTAGAAAAGGATTGAAATTTTAGCAGCGTTACTGTATGCTTTAAATAGAAAATGAATAGAAAACCATTAATACAGTATAAATTTTCACTTAAAAGCAGACCCATCTTATATTAATTTAGATATTCACAATCTTTTCAAAAGCTGTATCTATCATCATCAGAAAGCATCAATATAAATAAATAATCATTCTGTAAAAAATAATATGTTAAAACAAAAGTAATACATGAAAACTGGATATAATAAAGATGACAAATTAATAATTAATAATTTTAAATAAAAATTTAATTGATGCAAAGCTTATATCCCTCAAATCTAAACGACTCAAATATAATTTTTAAATTTTAATTCTTACTTTAAATTTTAATTAAAAATTAAATTTTAATAAAAATAAAAGTACAAAATTTTAAATTACACTTTTAAATCTAAATTTATTTGATCAAATTCTAATTTAAATTTTTGAACTTTTAATTAACCACATTTAACTTAAAAATTTCTATTAAGGAATTACTTTTAATAAAAATAAAATTTACACTTAAAATAGATTAAATTTATTTTAAACTTTTACTTTGAATTTAATTTTAATTCTGAACTTTTAAATACAATGGCATTTTTTTTATTTTAACAGAATGACAACAGAAAACAAAAATATTATTTAATCATATTTATTAATATTTTATTTGAAATGTTTAACTGACTTCATAAATAAAAATAAATAGATAAATAAATAAAAATGTTCACAGCTTGAAAGATTCATGGCACAAGGCACTATCAGCTTACCGGTATGGAAATCTGTGCTTATCCTTTCCATCCACAAGTGGAGGGATCCCGAATAGTTGAGGGTGGCTAAAAGTAGCCATGAGAACCAATACTGGTGCAAAGAGAAGGAGAAAGACGTGAGGGCAACTTTGAAAGGTAGCTGTTCGTCGCACACTGCAGGACTTGTCTCCTTTTCGTTATTAGTCACTGGTATCACTGGAGACAATAACAAAAGGTTTTTTTTTTTTCTTTTATCAGTATTCATTAACTATTACAAGTAGCAAGCTTCAACTTCTTAAATATCTATTATTTATTTAAACTGATTTGTTTTATTAAATTTATTTATTAAATAAAGTTAGTGAGATAGTGTTAAGTAATTAACAACTTAGTGTTAAGTTGATTAGTTATATTAAGTTATTAACAATTTAGTGTTAAGTTGATTAGTTATATTAAGTTATTAACAACTTAGTATTAAGTTGATTAATTATATTAATTTATTAACAAATTAGTGTTGAAGTGATTAATTTTATTAACAAAAGTGAGTTAGTGTGAAGTTACTAACAAATTAATGTTAAACTGATTAGTTTTATTAACAAAGTTAACGATTTTAGTGAGTAAAAAAACACAGCGGTTACTAAAATAAACTTTATTTTAGCAGAAGCGCTTTCGGCGATTCACCATCATTGCCTTTTTCATTAAATAAAGGATCAAGAATCCTAAACAGAAAGAAAGATTGACGAATTTTCGATAACTTAAAAGTTAAAAAAAATAAAGACCTTTCTTTTTTAAAAAAATATTTCGTTTTAAAAAAAATGAAAATAATTTCTTCATAAAAGTTAAAATAAAATTACTGAAATAGTTTCGGTATCTTTTGTCACAGAAATTAAACTTGTGTGATGTTAACGCAAATTCATTATTTTATTTATTTTCAAGCATATTTAAAATAGCGTATCTCCACGGCGTTGCATTAATGTAGGTCAGCAAACAGGTCAATGGTCGAAATATTATTCCATTTAGTACAATTAAACATAAAAATATTTATAAAATTATTTTTTATATTATGTTTATGATTTATTTCTTGTGTAACAAGGGAAAAATCAATTTTAAAACATCAGTAAACAGGACCATACTAATACTATTAAAATAGTTGATAATTCTCACCATAGATGGCAGCACCACTATTGGCAAAAGCAATTTTAATTTAATTGATGGTGCTGTCATCTATCGATAGCAATTTAATTAACTTTAACGATTAAGACTGAATTTTTTTTTAACGAAAACTAACATTCAGTAATAACGATATTAAATTATACTAATTTTCAAAATTCAGTTTATTTTAAGCATAAATGATAGCTTCATTTTCCAGTGAATAATGTTGATAAGTATGTAATTTCAAAAGAAAAGGGAATAAGAGTCAAATTCGATATTAAACATATAAGCAAATTGAGCATACATCAACTGATATCTAATGAAATTTGTTAGACGTATAAAACATGAATTCATATAAAGTTATATAAAATAGCTTAACAGATTGCTTTCGTAGGGAGGGAGAATTTTACGACTAAATATTTATTGCTAACTATTAACAAACAATTTTACCTTTCATTTGGGGTACAGGCTCTAAACCTTCGATAGTTTTCTTGTGGCTAAGTGGCGAAGCTGAAATAAGTAAAATGAAATATTTTTATTTCCAGCTTTAAAAGCAATATTGAACGAAGAGGTAACTGTATAGCCGATGAATAAAAACTTCTTATTAACCTTCTGATCTCTTATCGCTTTACATAATTTAGTTTTGGTTACACTATATATCAATAGACGACACATGTTTACAATTCCATGTTTGAATAAAGACTTTCAAGTGTAGAAATAAGGCAAAAAAGCAGCTTAGATTGGTGAAAATTTTAAATATCACTCTGTCGAAGATTCAGAAAAGATCTTTCTTTGTCTTAATCAAAAAAGTCATTTTCGCAGTTTTTTTAGTTCTGAAGAAAGGAAGTCCTTCAGAATTGACTGAATTTAATTCAAAATTCTGAGTAAATCTAAACTTCTTTTTTTTTTTCCAGCCCAAAAGTCTCGGAACACGATTTCGCGATTGTTGCCATTCGAAAAAATGTAAGATGCCATCTTTTATATTTATTCTGTCAGTTATTAAATAGCAAACTAAACTATTTTAAAGCAAAAGATGTAGTTCTTAAGAATATTTACTTTCTTTTTACTTTCGTATTTAAATAAAAACGTATTTAGTAAATGATATAACTAATTAAAAACATTCAATAGTTTTACAGAATTGCATTACATACATATATAGATATAATATTTTTTTTTTTTTTTTTTTTTTTTTTTTTTTACTTTTTAACTATACAGAAGAGATATGTAACGCTGCTACATTATTTTAAATGTCTGTAGATAATATCTACTGATAATCCAAATTAAACTCTATCAAGAGCTCTTTTGGACGATCCTAAAAAACATGAACCTTTTCATTTTTTTCCCTAATTTTAATTTTTAGTGGCCATTTTCCCCCAATAATATTTCTTGAAATCTAGTTAGTTCTCATAAAATTAACTCCCAAGAACTCAATGAACTAATCCTAATTCATTAAATCTTAAAATAACCCAACTCTAATCTCATTTCACTCCCCTTTTGAATAGTATCTTCAAAAGTCACATTTCTGTGTTATTTAATAGGTAGATCATTCATTCGCTGCTTGTAATAAAATTGAACACTTAAAAGAAATTGTGATATTTTCCCGTGCGTTCTCTAGTAGTCCACATCTGATTACAAACTAAAAGATTCAAGGTTCGAATCATGGAGAGAACACGGATGATTTCTGAAAATTCTGGCTTCGAAAACAAACTTTTCTACATTAGAGTTAGAAGTAAATTGTGGAGAACGGTAATTCATCACCGCCTGCACTTTAAGGATGTCATGCTTTCTCTTATGTATACATGTTCCTGCTTTTAAGTGAGTCAGAATTTAAGGAAGTTCCCCTACACACCCTCGTAGTGTAAGTGGTCAGCACTTGCAGCTGGCGACTGGGACATCTGAGATTCGAAACCGAAAAAAGGCATAATTGATTTCTCCAGGCTTCGCAAGAACCTAACAAGCTTTTCTTGAAGCAGTTATAGACTGCTCTTGAGATCACCTCTTTTCAGGAATATCAATTCAAACTCATTGAATTAAAACATTGAGCACAGACATTATAATTTTAATCCTCATCTCCGAATTTTTTTACAACCAAAACGAATTATTCTTATATGAAAAGGCCGCAGTTCTTTCACAGTTTGTTAGAGAGGAAAAGGAAATCGTAATTTGACGAGAAACGGAAACATTATTTAATTCTCGAGGTTTACAAGAATTTTACTAGAGAAATAATATCCTAAAATTTAAAAAATAAATATTATCGAGAACTGGGTCCTGAAATTTATTTTTCTCGGGAGCCACCCAGACGGGAAAAAGGTTAGTGACCCTGACTGCTATATACAAAAGCTTGGGTTCGAATCCCGGAGAAGGCATGGATGTAAATTGTCAGTCCGTTCATGGGAAGTAACGGCGGCCGCCTGTTAATTGCCTCCACAATAAAATGAGCCCCCTCTTCTGGCCTTAGTAGTGGGAAAAGCTTAACAATGGCTAGTGGTCGCCATATAAAAGTTCTCTGAAGCTAGAATTGGAGATTTATTGTTTCTCAAGAAGTAGGTACTGAGAAAAAGTCCCATTTTCAGAAAGAAATTTTCAAGCCCAGTCACTATACCAAACTGTCGAAAACAAAAATTGTAAAAGCGTTTAGACCGACACAACGCATCTGGACTAATTTTCAATATGTCATCCTAACCTCAATCATGTGTCAACCCATATGTCGTTGCAATAAGCAACGATTGCAGCTCTTTTAACACTTGTTGTAATAAAATGATACTCGTTAAAAACCTCAGTAAGTTGCGACAGTAAGTAAACTTTACTAAATAGCATTCGGAATGATAAGATATGCATCAGTAAGTAAGCAGGCGTAACGAGAAAAAAACTGTACTTTCGTATAAATATAGTCCTCTCTTAATGATAATCCTCCTCTTACTGATTAGCATTTATTTAAGGCATTAGATTCCTGAACAACAGTTGCTTATTAAAGCTTAATTTAAAGTAGCCTCTGGCGTTACGTATGACCAAAAGACTCCTCTAAATTCAATAAAATTATGTGATTTCAAGCTATCTGTTAGGCAAAAATACAATTTATTTTTCCTTGAATTTTTATAAGATACTATCTATACATACAAAAGATTTGCACTTACCTGGAATAAGATTAAATTTTCCGACCTGTCCCGTGGCAATGACTGCAATGTCCCCCACTCTCTTGAAGATCGATTCTCGGCACTTCTCACTTTCTTCTCGTATCCGGTCTACTGGGAGGCAGAAAAGTGTGATGGGCAGCATTGAAGCGCTGAAAGCCACAAGGACGTAGCAGACCCATTCCCAAGGCAGGCCTGCATCATAACCGTACTAGCAAATACAAATGAAACGCTACAGTAGAGAATAACGCTCGAAACAGGACAAATACAAGAAAAGGAAAGCATGACTGGTGTGGAAATTGCAATCTACAGTTCTTCTAGATAGTAGATTTAATATTACTGTAAAAAGCAGCAATTGCTTGGTCAATTCCGTGGCTAGCTATGCCAAATCTTATGCAGAACGGCTTGATCTCGAATTTCGACTGAAAATTAGACATAACCAAGCGCAGTAGCGGTGCATCATCGCATAAAATCCTTGCGCTTGAAAACTAGCAATCGGCATGACTAATAGAAATATAACGGTGGATGTAAGTTCTTACGGACACATCTGCGCAGCGATCTAGCCGTCATTATTGTCATAGTGCTAAAATTATTGCCTTCCTTCACACACTTTGATACTTTAAAACTTCGATGCTTTGCTTTATGCCTGTGTCAGCAAGAATTTCATTTCGCTATTACAGGCACCTCAAATATCCCTGATTTGGGGAGCAATATCGTAGATAGATCCTTATAGGGAATTGCACGTAAGAGAGAAAAGCTGGCACAGGTCAGCATGTAGAAAATATGCATTGTGACACACATGTGAGAAATGTAAACGTTCACATTCTGTGGAGCAAGGTTTAACGCGTAGCCGGTTGTCATTGGTCAAATGCCAAATCGTGCTTCCTTCGCTATGATTGATCGGTTCTTACACTTGACTCGCACAGAATTCAGCTATCGAATAAAATCCTTACACCAAATCATGGACCTTATAAGACACAGACCAACCCAAATGGGTTTTCTCCCTCGTCTGACGCGTTCTCCGCTGTCACCTTGACAGGAGTAGGAACGACTTGCAGAAATTTAACAGTGGTTGCCTATTGCAGCGTGTGTAATTGCCAAGAAAAAGTTGGCTGTAGCGCCTCATTTCACAAATTAGAATTTCTACATATTTTTATTTTTAAAACTGAGATTGATTTTTAAAAATTTATCATATTTATCAAGCATAATTAGCGTTCCAAATAATTATAAAGCTATTGCATGCTTTCAGGGCTGGATATTCCTTTAGCTTTTCCTATCTGTAAGGAAATTTGACTACTTCTTTTAGAAAATATTTTATCTGAACTAATAGAAAATTTCAAACAAGCAATTTTCTCTTGCAATTTTTATGCTTTTTATTGGTGTAAAAAAATACTAAAATATTTAAAAACAAGTTTTCGAAAGCTTTGTTTGAAATTCTAAATTGTGCTGCTTTTTTAAAATTATAGATGAGTAGTATAGCACAATTTCTACAAAGGAATTTTATTTCAATTATATTTCATAATACATCATAGTGATAAACACTTTTGATTCCTTAATAATTTTTTGTACATTTAATTCTAACATTGAAATTGTATTTAACCGTAATAATTAATTTTGATTGTAAATTATAGTGATCAATTTTTTAATTTATTTTTAGTTCTGCATAAGATTTCTTTTATTTACTGTTAATTTAATTTATTAGCCCAAAGGGGCGGTAGCTTAGAAAGGCTGTTAGTTTTGAAGCGGCATTTTGCACTGTTTCACTAAAAATGTCCGTGTCTCCTTGCAAATTGTTGTTACTAAATATTATCGCCTTGCATTATATTTAAGGAAATTAAATAATGATGAACCTGCATGAATACATGTATGTTTCTCGCACTGTGACAAAAACGACGGTATCTAGAGCCATCAAATTTTGAATAATGTAATCCTCCACCCGAACATGGGCATCTGGACGGCCGAATTTCGAATTTGATTTAAATTTCATATTTTGTAAAACTTTAACGAATTTTTTATTAATAAACTCAACGAGTTCAAAGCAAGCAATGGTAACACTGTACGAAAAATAACATTTTTATCTCCAGTGTGGAGATTCTAAAGATATGCTGTTTTCAAATGTATGTGGCTTACGGGCGAAGAACATGATATTCAATAAATATAGGTAACACACAAAACGTTACAAAAAGGATCCTTTTGGGCGTAATATAAAATCTGAGTGCTTCTAGATTTTATTTTTTCTTTTTTTTCCTTCATTACACTCAGAAAATTTTATGCTCCAAATTTTATAAATTACTAAAATAAATAATCTACTTTAATGTTAATAATTTAATGATCATATAATCAAATAAATGATCGTTTTGTAATGTTATAGTTTTAAAAATCACTGCTTGATAAAGTTCATTAAATTTTTAAAAATGTCAGATCTAATTTAATTTTACCTTATTTATTTCAAAGCATCACGTACTATAAATCTTATTTAATTTTACTTTATCTGTACGCAAAATTAAGTTCATAATTTTTGCGCGCAGTGTTTTTACCGTTTTACCAAAGTAAAGATGTTTGTACAAGAATTGCGAGTGAAAAAAATGCGCGAAATACAGTAAAAACTGCTTTAATGAGATATATTAAGTCCTATTTGAAAAAAAAATGACTTTCATAATCTCATCACTAAACAACGTATCGCATTTAATAATTAAAAACAGTTATGTGATACAAACGCCACAGGTTTTAGTGTTAAAGTAAACCAGATCATCCTTACTCTTTCTTGCGGACATTTCGGTGACGCGCGCCCCGTCCACTGGGTTAGTCTATCTTTTATAAGGACCATGCACCAAGTTCTATGACGTAGCAACATTTGGTTGCCTCGCAACGAAGTTCGACTTTTGCTCCTTATGCATCGCAAAGCTCTCGTGTGAGTGCTCCAGAAGTCATTTAAATTTACCAACAGCCGAGTGGTAAAACAGTTATTCAATCTAATTTCAAATCTGCGAGAATAAGCTGCATGGTTTGCCTTAGGAGACGCATGCGTTTGTGAAGGAATTTCTAAGGAAAACTGACTCCCTTAGCTTACAAACGATTAGCCATAGAACATTGCAAATCTGTATATATATATATGGGACTGCTATAATAAATATTTGTGCGCCTCTTTCTTTCTTCAATCGGCAGTACCAAAAGTGTATATATATATATCCACCCCTTAACCGGTTGAAAAGTCGTTACCCGGCCTTTCTTTTCGCAATCGTCGCCCGTAAACATATACTTCCATTTACAGACGTGTTTTAATTGACAAAAATATTTAATATTAAATAAAAAAATGTAATTTGGGACAAATAAAAATATCTAACTTATAATTCTGTCTTCTTGTTCTATATTTTTATTTGGGAAATTTTTACATTCGATATGAAAAAAAATTCTAAAAAGTTTGGCTTTTGTACGACAAAAGTTGAACGGGATATTTAATTTCAAAATTTGCAATTTTGTTTTCGACGTATTTAGAGGAACCGATTAATGAAATTAGAGCAATTCAAGGAAATGAGTTTAAATGTAGATCAGGAAAAAATGTGTATAATTTAACTAGCCGTACAAAGAAAGCACACATTTTAGTTTTGCTACTAAACAGGATTATATATATTTTTTCATTTCAAAACTTTTGTTGCTTTTGTGTTACAAATTTTGAGAATTAACACCTCTATTTCTTATTTGTTATTTTCTACATCAAATATTAATCTACATTTTTTATTTTTGCACATATTGGATTATTTCTGTTTTACACGCTTTTGGAATCCGTCCACTAATTGAAAATTTTTAGACTCAGTCTACTAATTGAAAATGTTTATTAGATTTTTAAGTCTTCGCTTGTTTAAGAATTTTGTGTTTATTTTTTATTCAACCTGCATATTTTCAAAATTTGCATATAGCTTTGTTTATTCCAATTTTCAATTAAAAAATTTCAGTGTGGCTTTGTTTTTTCAATCAAGTGTTGGATTATTATTTTTGTAAACTTTGTTTTTGAACTCAATCTTTTCAATATATTTTTTTAATTTCTCTATTACCTTGCAATTTTTTTTTTTGAATTTGTCTATGTTTTTGATACTTCAGATTTTGCACGGCTTACTTCGGCCTGTACGCGTTCGACTGATAAAGTCACAGATTACTTTGATTGTTTGCCCACCAGCGGCTGAGCGGTAACGTCGCTGAACACTGGTAGTTCGGTCTGAGGTTCGAATCCCGCGAACTGGCTGGCTGCATGGGTGTTTTTCGTGGTTTTCCCCATGTGTAACGTGTATACGAGCCAGTTTCCCTTAAAACGTCTCCACGAAGGCATCCCTCCCTTAAGGCAGATAGCCCTCGAGTGCTTTGCCGTAATCTAATAAACCAAACCAAACTGTTTTGATTGTTTTCCTACGGTTACTAACTTTCTAAGATTATTTTAAACTTTAATATGTGTCTTTGTCAGTTCAGAAAGAAGCTATTTTATTTAGTTGCTTCTTTCCTTACACCAACTCTCTGATGATGATGGAGCGAAAGATGTATATATATTTTTGCACGTTTTACCCCCCACCCGCATTTCTTAAAGTTTGCTGCACTGTGCTTCTGTTTTTATTGGTAATTTACACGTGGTTTGTTCCGAACTGAACATGAGATGCATTTTAAACGTATTTTTCATTTTTCATTTTATTTCCTTTTCTTATCTTATATATACGAGTAAAAATACGCTTCTGGTATTGCCGATAGAAAAAGGAAGGGCGGTGCACAAATAGATGTCATAACAGTCCCATATACAAAATTTAAACGCTTTGCGTCTCCTCGTTTTTGAGTTAAACGAGATACATATATACAAATATCACGAAAAAAATCCATTTTAGATCTATTTTACAATCCATTTAGGAATAAACAGCCCATATTAGGTATTATTATATCCCATATTATGAACTTATGAAGTAAGCTGTGCAAAGATATTGTAATATCTTTGCGTGACATATGTCCGTACGTACATATGTAACGCAAAGAAATAATCAAAATGTATTTAGGAACGGTCAAAAGGGATATTTCCGTTGAAATCTGAAACCCAAAATTTTTCACGATTAAAATACTTCCTTTACTTCGTAGAAGGAAGTGAAAAGACTTCTCTAAGAAAAACATTCTGCTTACAGATATTGTGACAATGGTAGGGTTCGTGTTAGGTGAAAGATAATTAATTTTAATATAATACTAATTCAAATAGTGGGAACAAGCAATTGTGAAAAGTTCATACCTACGTAAAAAAGAAACTTCACAGCTACTTCATAAACAATGAAAATGCAATTATTTACTTTTTTATGACAGATTATTAATAATAAGGCAATTTATTATTGAGAAATTAATCCGAATAATTTTTAATGTAGGTTAACACCCAGATTGTTATGAAATATTTTAAACGAGCACCGGCCCTGTCAAAACTAAGCGGGTGCCCTTCAATATCGATTGTTTCCACTTTTCTTCACTGATCAGCTAATGAATTTTCCTCCATTTCACCAAATTCTGAGCTGAATGATGAAACTCATTTCATTGACCTCAATATCCATGCATTAAGATAGAGCATTTCGAGTGTCGCATTTAAACATTCATGATTCAATTAAAGTAGATTTCTTTTTTGAAGAAAAAAATTGTAAAGAAAATGTCTTATTTGCTCTTAAAAGTGCAATTTTTATACCGGTAGCTCTATTTATTGGATAATCAGTTTTCTTAAAAAAATAAATAACAGCTATAATATAACATGGTAACAACAATTGGTAAAGCTTTGTGTTATCAGTCTGCAAAGCGTAACATACTTGCGCTTCAAAGTTAATCCCAACGTCGATATAAAAGAAATGTGTTAGCAATCGCAATATATTTCTCTTTGGAATTTAATAAAGAAACTAAGTGATTTAAAAGAAATGTGTAGCCACTACCCCAATTAAATTATTTTTATTATCAGTGTCTGTCGTTTAGCAAAGTGTAAGATATAAGTTTATTTTATTGTGAAGTAACAGAGTAAGCGATTTAAAACCCGTAAACGCAGATTCATTGTATTTCTATTAAATACTAACTAGATCTGTAAAATTACCCTTGCTGAACGGAATAAAATTATTAAATATATAAAGAAGAGTGGTCGTTTGTTTGTGAGTATATTTCTTATAAATCTACTTCAGTTTTATTCCAATCTTGATGAAATTTGCACTCTTTGGAACAAGAGGAAAATCACTATCTACATTAGATTTCGAAACAAACACCTCACCGGATCCACAAACAAGACATTTATAATAAAACATTGCACTCTCGTCCCCCATCTCCGCCTCGCGTCGTATTTGTTTCGTTCTTGCTCTCGATAGAAGTCATATGTGGTAAGCAATGAATTTATAATTGGTTTTTGCAAATAAATCAATAAATAAATATATATGTACAGTCTCAATATTGAAACCATGTTACCCATCTTAGGTTCGCGTTGCTTTTATTGCATTCCCTCTACCAGTTCTTTATGAAACTTTTCTGACTCCGTATTCATTTATTCTCTAGAACACTGGAGAACCTTTAAATCAGTGTTTAAGAGCGTTCTCTATCAGTTTTTCAAGAATATTTCGAAGAGGTAAAGAAATGTGACAAAGTGGAGGGTGATTTTGCAGAACCTCATTTCCCAGAAAAGATACAACCGATAACAAAACAAGTGCCATTTCTTACTAAAACCGTTACGTGGCGCTGCCAGTAACTAAAGACGATAAATCGCATTACCAACAATCCCCGAAGCTTGCGGGAAAATAAATTAAAGGCAAAATTCAGTCCTCAAATTTTCAAGGCAAAGGGAACGCATAAACTTTGGCTCAGGGCCTAAAATCTCTCGCAAGCCATTACGGCTAGCAAAGCTAAAACCGCTTCAAGCAATTCTATCTCTGGGCAACAAACAGACGGTCAGCGATGGCTGACGCAAGCTCTCTCAATTCATAGTCTCTGTGCTTCAGTATATCCATTAATTTGCATTGTGATTGCTGAAGACGAAAGGAAAGGCAATAGAATAAGAACTTGTCTAGAAACCTAAAATTCTACATTTAATTCTGGAAAAGCTGACTTTTGCTCACCTTTGTGAATATGAAAATGGCTGCTGATGCTGTGAATGCTCCACTGTACAATGTTATTACTGTTGATCGTCTGCCAGGGAAAAGATTGGCAATCTGTAAAGAAACGAAAAGAATATTTCTTGAAATTTTGAAGCTGAAATAATAAATATACTATTGCGCGAAATCTGAGAACTACAATAAAGTATATAATAAAATATATTGTGTAGCTGCCTGCTTATATTTTTAAATCCAGGTAGTAAATTTGCACAAAAAAGCGTTTTCAGAAAAAAATTGGTAAAATACCTACATAAAAAATATAAATAAATAAAATTATCGTTTTTCAGAAACGTTTGGTGAATTGTTTCAATCTAGATAACTAAATAAAATAAACAACTACATTATAATAAATAAATTCAATCTATAAATCTATCTAAATAAATAAAATGGATTATGGGCTTATCTTGAGCTATTGCTCTTTCAGTTTCAATCCACCTGAAAGGATTTATGACATTCACTCTTACGTATATTCGTGGTGTAAATAGTTAGCACATTTGACTAGAAATTGGTAAATCCAAGGTTCTATTCCAGGAAAGGTCGCAGTGAATTTTTCATGTTTCTTACATAAACAAATATTATGTAATTTATATGAAATATATTTAAAATTGTGAATCTTAAATTTCAAATATTACAATCAATAGGATGTTTTAAGCTTTATTATTACGATCTAATGTTATTATCTGCATTCTGCGAACTGTGTTAAGAAATTATGAGATGAATGAACTTAAGACATGAGTTGCTTTCTTTAATTATTATTTACTTTTACTTTAGTTATTATGCCCAGCGTTAGCAGTGGCATTAGCATCTTGATTAACATGATTCAGAAAGGTGAAGAGAAAAAAAAAAGGGGGAAAAAAGGACGACGAAGAAGGGAAAAATATGCGTGGACAATATAACTTTGTACAAAAGCTTTCCAAATCAACGCATTTAATACCGTAAGATCCCCAATACGTAAGGACATAAGTAATGTAAGCAACACTTAATAAAAGAGAAATCAGAGGGATAAAAAGAAGCTTTATTGAAAAAGTAGCATGGAGCGCAATGCGACTGAAGGCCGAAACATCCCTGTGATGGGTGTCCAGCAAGAAACATCCGGTCTTTAATAGGGGATATGGTCTCCCCTGACTGCTAGGCAGGTTTCACAGCGTCTGCCCATGCTGAGAATGAGGGTGTCAATGAGTTGTTGAGGCATTGCTGCCCATTCGTCTTGCAGTGCCAATCGAAGCTCCGGAATCGTTACTGGTGGTAAAGTACGAGCTGCCAAGCGTCTGCCTAGAAAATCCCACACATGCTCGATGGGATTGAGATCCGGAGATTGTGCCGGCCAATCCATACATTTAATATCCTCACTCTCTAAGAGCTGTTCGGCAGCTACTGTGCGATGACATGTTGCATTGTCGTCCATGAAAAGAAACTGCGGACCCATAGCGCCTCTAAAAAGACGCACATATGGAAGAAGAATCTCGTTACAATAACGGGTCCCGTTGACTGAACCTGCGTCGAAGATGTGAAGGTCTGTACTACTACCAGGCATGATGCCTCCCCAAACGAGAACACCGCCACCTCCATACCTGTCCCTTTCAATGATGTTCGAGGGATGATTGCGGCTTCCCCGCTCTCTCCAGATGAGTATGCGATGAGAATCGCTACTCAGACTGAATCTGCTCTCATCTGTAAAGAGTACTCGTCCTCATTCATTGTCTCTCCAATTCCTGTGTTCCCGGCACCACAGAGAACGCCTTCTCTGATGGGCAGGCGTTAAAGGTACACACCGTACAGGGCATCGTGCAACAGACCACCACCGTGCAGTCTTCTGGCCACGGTAAAACGCGATAATCGGTCGTCCAGTCGCCTGTGTCGTGTGTCTAAGCGGTTTTTTCTCCCGCCTGTCCTGCCGCCTGTTTCTTCTGGCCTGTAAGGCAATATACCGGTCATCTGCAGGTGTAGTTCCTCGTGGACGACCACTACTAAACCCCCGGATAGCTGTTCCTGTAGTTTGAAATTGTCTCCAAAGTCGTGAAACGATGCTGTGAGCAATTCAGAACTCTGCAGCCACACTTGTCACACTGTGGCCTTCCTCCAACTTCCCAATGATTCGACCTCGGCGTCGAATCATTGGGAAGTTATCAAAAGCATCCAGATGTCGTCTAACAGACTGATTATTCGCCATTTCTCGCTGAGGCAGCAACTCTGATTTTAACTGCTATACGACGTGCAATCTCTTTACCAGAAATACTGATCTTACACCGACAACATGCTTTATACTACTCAGACACTCCCCCATTACGTCTACCTGCATATCTGCGCATGTACTACCGCACATCACCTTACTTAATCTCCTGATTGGTCTTTCTGTCCGCTCTGCCTCTTCGTTCAGCTGACATGCTAATTTTTCGACTTCGTCCTTAATTTTTGCACACCAGTGTACCTGTCATGAGTCTTACTTTGCGATCAATGAATTAAAAGCATGCACAATTATCACAATTGCTCTTATTTTTCTGAACTCAATCAAAATTTCAAAACTTGTTTATTCGAGTTGAAAATGCTATACTATGCAGCAGAGCAGCAGAGCGAAAAAAAAGCGCAAGTAATTTATCTATGATCAATTTGTTTTATGTAAACAAGCAGCACACTAATAAGTTACTTAAAAAAGTTATCAATTTACATCGTATTTGCTTGCACCAGAGAACCACTAATTTTGCATCTTTTGACCTCGGTAAAACTGGTGACAGTTATATCACTGCGATGGATTCGTGGCTTGTTATAAGGATAATTAAATTTTCAATATTAATAACACCTGTAAAATGAAAGAAAATGAAATAAAAAAGATACGCATAAAAAAGGACGAATGTATCTCAGTTATGCAATTCCTTTTATGCTCGAATTAACATTACCAAATGTATGATCCTTTCGTTATGTAAGGATACGTAATCAAGACATATTGAGTATTGGTAAGGGGAATTGCCGAAGTGTTATGTCATAGGATAAATAAAGTTTCATAAAGAAAATGGCATCGGTTCGTTAAACTGCAGCAGCTCTTAAATTTAAATCTCTACTTAAGAATATTCAATGCAGCGTGTCTGTTACATAAAAGACGCTACATTTGGTAAACAAATAATCTTGTTTGAATTCGTAAGCTGCAATTATTATTCAGAAACTGCAAATTCAAAAGAAACTGCAGAACTAAATTTTTAATTGCAGATAAAAGTAATAATAATAATAAAAAAAAATCTGGAAAGGTTTAGATATTAACGATCCTCTCGAAAAGGCTGTTTTAAAGTTTAAATATGGTTTATGAGCAGAGTTTATCGATAAGTGTGGCTTGGCTTATTTGATTATGTCAAAGCCTCCTTCGAGGACTATCTGCCTAAGAGGAGGGATGCCTTTTTGAAGAACTTTCTAAGGGAAACTCGCTCGTATACACGTTACACACGGGAAAAACTACGAAAACGCTCATGCTGCCAGTCCGTTCGCGGGATTCAAACCCGGACCAAACTACCAATGTTCCGCGACGATCCGATTATCGATAGCGATGGCTCAGGTGGAATAGCGAAACATTTTACAGCATACTAGACTAACATGAAAACGTTCTATATCTTTTGTCTGTTTGAAAAGCGGAAAAATGTACAACGTAATTGTACAAAATTATTTCTAGTTTTATTTAGCTATATCATGAATTAAATGTATTTCTTAAATCAATCAGATTAAAACGTAAAAACTAATATTCTTAAGAACTGCATTGCTTTTAAACAGCTTAGTCTGCTATTTAAAAGCTTATGCTTCAGTTGTGCATTTCTGAATTCTAAAACTTTAAATGCAGTAAGAAATATTTAGCCGTAACATATCTTTAAGCAACATGGTATTAAATTCAATGTGATAAAGTAAATTTTACTCAATGTAATAAAGAAACTCAATACAACAAAGGTTCTTCTTCCGAGCATTGATTGATAAAAACCAATGGAGAGGATAAGAAATCTACTATAATACGTGGATGCTGCAGACAATATCAGTCTTTCGTGGAATGAGGTGACCGAAGAATATTTGAAAGAAGTATGGAAGAATATACGGCTGGAGGTAAGCTTGGATGTTGACACAAGCAGATCTGTTATTGATGTTGTCAAGCGAGCTACTAGAAATTGTCAGGCTAGCTAATAAAACAGTATTTAGAAATATAAATGCGCTGGATATTGAAGAAATATTGCGAGTTAAAACTGATGAAAATCTTCTCAACGAAGATCTTAAAGAATTAGTAGAACGACAGGTGCACGAAGATGACGAAGACAGTGTTTCTGAAAATGAGGAGCAACAGTCACTTTACTGACTTTCTAAAAAAGAAAGTTTAGCCACGATACCGAAAACTAAGGACCAGTTTGTACAAAATGATCAAACTTCGATAGAAATTCAAAAACAAGAAGTACCATTGGGGAGATGGCTTGTTATCGACAACGATTTGCTAAATGAATCAGAAAAAAGTAAACGACGTTAAATGACTTTTTACAAAAGAACAAAAAATGTCAAAATGTTGTGCTGAAGCAGAACCTTCCTCCTCAAGGATACGACTTCTTTACTCGAACATTTTCTTGATTTTCATGAATGGTTTGTGAATAAAAACTATATTCGCAATAGGGAAGACTATAACTAATGCAAGAAAAATAATTTAACTATAAATATTACGAAATAAGACAGAAAATATTTGTTATTCTCGCTTCTGTTTCACTTATCCCCATTACTTACGTATTAAAATGACTTCATTTAATGCTGTTTCGCTTAGGGCTGGGGGTTATTAAAACGCATTCCTCGCGTTAATCGGAATCCTTTTTCCTTTCGAATAATAGCATTACCAACCAATACAAGTTATACATTTTCATCTCATTTTCGAATTTCCTAAATTTGAGGTAAATTGAAAAGGATAACAAAATTTCGAAATCTTGATAAATTATGAATATAGCGAATGACTCTGACAGTGAAAAATATCACTTTGAAAGTTAAACTCAACCGACAATGATCAGTTTTGAACAACTCTAAAAGAATAAACTTACAGGAACTACAACAAGACA